TTCCGGATATTCCACTGGCCGGATACCAAAGTAAACATGAAGCACATGGACCACGATCACAATCCCCTGCCGGGGACCAAGCACTTGTTGGCAGAATCTGATCGTGTCGGGTTTGAACCGGGCCAGGGACTTGAGCAGGTTCACCTTGCGTTGACGGGTAAGGTGGGGGAGATGCGGGTCATGTTCGTGACCAACGATGGCAAGGAGAGTTTTGTGATATATGGGTTGACCCGAGAGAATATGGACCGGGTAGTGAGCACCAGACCCCAGGATTGAAAGGTATGAGAGGGAGGATCTCTGTGACGTGCCCCAGGTAATGAGTAATGACAGCATTGGGTGGAGAGACCCTGGGTTTATACATGATGGGTTCTTGGTTAATTTGCAGAAAGGAAAGAAGTATTATTATCAGGTAATTCTTTACTCAAAATTTCTGGTAACACTTGTGTAACTTCTTAGTAAATTCTTCATCATTGGCATGTTTTTGTAGTTTGCAGATTCAATTAGCTTAAGTTTTTGGTTTTTCTTGTACACTTCTTTTCGAGTTTACTGTTTAATTCCTGAAAATCTTAATGGGAAGAAATTGTTGAAGTGACTTCTTGTTGATTCAACTGATCAACATGCGAACTTGTTAACACTTTGTCTAAATCCATATAATCAAGAATATGACTATATCTTTCCTCGTAACCATGGCAGGTTGGTAGTGATTCCGGGAGTTGGAGCACAACTTATAGCTTTGTGTCACCAAATGAGGATTCTAGTGAAACCACTGCTTTCTTATTTGGGGATATGGGGACTGCAACTCCATACTCAACTTTTGTCCGTACACAGGACGAGAACATATCCACCATTAAGTGGATAAGCCGAGAAATTGAAGCTCTCGGTAACAAGCCTGCCTTTATCTCCCATATTGGTGATATTAGCTCTGCAAGAGGCTACTCATGGTTGTGAGACAACTTCTTCTATCAGATTGAGCCTGTTGCATCCAAAGTCCCCTAACATGTATGCATCAGTAATCATGAATACGATTGGCCGTTACAGCCTTGGAAGCCCTACTAAATGGGATCTATAGTCTCAGATTCCGCATGACTGGAAATTCCTCAGATCCTACTGGAACTCGAGCCCCTTGTACAAGGAACCTTTACTACTCGTTCGATGTGGGGGAGTCCATTTTGTTTATTTTTCAACAGAAACCAATTTCCTTCAAGGTAGCAAATAGTACGACTTTTTGAAGCATGACTTGGAATCAGTTGATAGAAATAAGACTCATTTTGTGGTCGTCCAAGGGCACAGGCCAATGTACACAACCAGCTATGAAACAAGAGATGTCCCTCTTAAAGATAGGATGCTCGAGCACCTAGAACCTCTTCTTGTAAAGAACAAGGTGACACTTGCATTTTGGGGTCATGTACACAGATATGAGCAATTTTGTCCTCTAAGAAACTTCACACGTGGAAGCTTGGGCATGAATGAGGAGGAATGGAAGGCGTTTCCGTGCACCTTGTGATTGGGATGGTCGGACAAGATTGGCAGCCTATCTGGCAACCACGACCAGACCACCTGATTGTTCCCGTTTTCCCACAACCAGTTTGGTCATTGTATCATGGTGGTGAGTTTGGCTATGTTTGACTTGTTGCCAATAAGGATAAGCTCACATTATCTTATGTAGGAAACCAGGATGGAGAGGTACACGATGCGGTCGAGATCATGCCTTCAGGACAAGTTCTTAACGGCATCGTTACTCCTGATGGGATTGCAAGAAGGGACAAGGTGGAAACAACATCTTCATGGTACTTTATGGGTGCCGGTGTACTTGTACTCGGAGCTTCTCTCGGGTATATTCTTGGTCTTGTTTTGCGCTCGAGAAAAGATGCTGCTTTGGGCAATAGATGGACTCCTGTGAAGAGTGATGAAGCATGAAATCGTGAGAATCGTAAGAAATCCTTCCAGATTGTGAAGCTTTTTGCAGATGGATGAGGTTTGCTCTCGAAGGCAGCAATGTGTGAAGTTATTCGAGTTCAGCCTTGATGGATTGATAAATTAATAGTTATAGTTTTCACGTTTTTCAATACATATTTGTAGCAGATTGGACAAAATATTTCAGCATTTGTGTTGTCACTCGTGTAGTCAAATTTATAAATTCATAATTTTTTTTTATTTTCTTTTTCCTTGTAATTTCACCCTTTTCTTTCTGGTATTGTAGACTGCAAAATTTTGAAGATATGAACAAAACTATTGGTTGGATGCACGTGTTTGAATGTATTGGTCTCTTTGCATAAACCACAATCAAACTGGTGTGTTGCCCTCTTTATGGCTCTGTGTCTATTTGATGTAGTTTTTTGGTAAATAAAGTTGATAGAATTTAGTGTATCACGTAAAATGTGTATTAAAAATGAAATTTGACTAATTTGATTAGATTTTTAACAAAAAGTAGCTCTACAAAACAAGCACCTAATAATATACATGATGTTATTCATAAAATAAGTTCCAATATAATGGAATTGTAGAAAATTTTGATTTACTGTAAGATTTCGTGAATTCAAGTACATGATATGCTTGACATTAAGCCCATGTTTGATGTGAAATAAATAAAAATCAAAGTCAATAATTAATTTTGATAACATATTTTATGAAACTTACAACTTTTTAATTACATATTTGATCAACTTTTATTAGAATTTACTAAAAATAAGATTTTTAACCAAACCAAAAGGGACTGAGTACTGTTCCGAGAATTTTGTACAACATGCGAATCTAAACCAAATTCTCTTAACGTGCCACCATTCAATATATTCAATATTGAGTTCAACACGAGACTCTAAGAACTATGAAACAATGCAAGAACTACATGAATTATAATATATGTTGCATCCCCGTAAATGACATCTCGTTAAAATGAATTAAATCATATGTATAGAAGAGTGGTTCACACATTTACCAACTCTCACATGTGTGGGACCCTTCGAAATAAAAAATGAAAAAAAAAAAAAACCACCCCCTCCATTTTTGTGAGTTTCTGTGAACCAACCATCCCCTTGTCAATCATTCTTTTGCAAGTGTAGCAAGATTCCGTTAAAATTGTGTTTATCGTAATTTGTATGATTCTTGAAAACACAACTTTTTAAGCTATTTTTTACACTCGTGCTCTTAGATACAAAACCATCATAGTAACTAATCAATATCGTTTACTATACATATACATGCATCCCGTCTTCTCGAGATCATTCTTCGATCTTCGTGTTCGAGAATACTATAATGAATCACTATTTTCGCAAAACTAATACCTAAGTCTTCAATTATCATCGTATTAATTAATTCCAAATAGCATTGAAACTTAAAAAAGTTAAAATAAGTTGCTTATTTCATCGACTTAGATATTTATTGTTTGGCCAAGAACACAAAATATTAGACCAAAAAATAGAGATACCAAAACTTTCTCTGAAATAAAGTGCAGAAAATTAAAGAAACACAATCAATATATTTCAGCCTAAGCTCTGGAGGTTCGGTGATTGCTTCTAACATCTACATCCCCCGTCGAGCATCCAAAAGATTGGATTATGCTTGATTCCACTATAACGCCCAAAATGGCAACAAAGGTTACAAAAATATTCAGCCAAATAACAAAGAATAGTACAGAATAGTATCTCTCTCAAAATACAACAATCGACTTACACGAACCACAAAGAATCGCTTCAGAACTTTAAAAATAACAACTCAGAAGCACGAAAACTTCCTTACGGATATTCACTCAGAATATCACCACAAATAGGCTAAAATATTACAGATCGTCTTTTCAAATCAAGAATTTGAGAAGAAATTATAGTGAGAACAAAATCAGAGAAAACCCTCAAACGGCACACTCACAGAAAGAGAACAGAACGAAACCCTCAACCTAGAATATGCCAAATGAAAATGGCATAAAGGCATAGAACCATCCGAATTCAAATCAATAGTCAAGATTCATCCACGTGTCGCAATCTAGTTGAAAGTGTTGTTTTAATAAAGTTGCATTTGCCAAAAAACGTTTTTAACACAAATTATGGATGCATCACTTGAACTTAGTGATGTCAACGAGTCGAGCCGAGTTGAGCCCGAGCCAAAAAAAAAAAGTTCGAGCCGAGCCCGTCCAAAAAAAATGAGGCTCGGCCCGAGCTTTAGTGGCCGAATCGGCTCGATTTTTTTGGTTTTTTTTTTCCTAGCAAGGCAGCTTGCTGCCTACAGGCTGCCTGAACAGACTCTGAGTCAAGCCGAGCCCGAGCGTTTTTTGCCACCGCTACTTGAAGTCTTGAACTGGTTGGAAGCCCACATTTATTTTAAGCACATGAAAACATAACGAGAGTTTGGTGCGGAGATATTATCTGCTACATGGAAAATATCTGGAAGCAAGTGGTGGGAAAACGACGAATCACATTTAGGCTCGTGTTAACAATTCAATGTGAAATCTCTCTTACGCAAATACACAGACTTGTGGGGTTGCATGCAGCTGTGAATTTCAATCGTTTCTATGTGTGTATGCGAGTGAGAAGAATCGGTAACAATGGAGGTTTCAGCATTTTTGATTGATTAATAAAGTTGAGTTTGGATTGGCCACGTTTTCCTCCTTCCCCTCTCTTCTTCACGGCTTCTCCCTCTCTTCTTCTCCTTCCTCCTCGTTTTCTTGTTTCTTAGTCTACATCATTTTTCAATACATATTTGTAGCAGATTGGACAAAATATTTCAGCATTTGTGTTGTCACTCGTGTAGTCGAATTTATAAATTCATAATTTTTTTTTATTTGCTTTTTCCTTGTAATTTCGCCCTTTTCTTTCTGGTATTGTAGACTGCAAAATTTTGAAGATATGAACAAAACTATTGGTTGGATGCACTTGTTTGAATGTATTGGTCTCTTTGCATAAACCACAATCAAACTGGTGTGTTGCCCTCTTTATGGCTCTGTGTCTATTTGATGTAGATTTTTGGTAAATAAAGTTGATAGAATTTAGTGTATCACGTAAAATGTGTATTAAAAATGAAATGTGACTAATTTGATTAGATTTTTAACAAAAAGTAGCTCTAAAAAACAAGCACCTAATAATATACATGATCTTATTCATACAATTAAGTTCCAATATAATGGAATTCAAGAAAATTTTGATTTTCTGTAAGATTTCGCGAATTCAAGTACATGATATGCTTGACATTAAGTCCATGTTTGATGTGAAATAAATAAAAATCAAAGTCAATAATTAATTTTGATCACATATTTTATGAAACTTACTACTTTTTAATTACATATTTGATCAACTTTTATTAGAATTTACTAAAAATAAGATTTTTAACCAAACCAAAAGGGATTGAGTACTGTTCGAGAATTTTGTACAACATGCGAATCTAAACGAAATTCTCTTAACTTGCCACCATTCAATATATTCAATATTGAGTTCAACACGAGACTCTAAGAACTACGAAACAATGCAAGAACTACATGAATTATAATATATGTTGCATCCTCATAAATGACATCTCGTTAAAATGAATTAAATCATATGTATAGAAGAGTGGTTCACACAAGATTTACCAACTCTCAAATGTGTGGGACCCTTCGAAATAAAAAATGAAAAAAAAAANAAAAAAAACCACCCCCTCCATTTTTGTGAGTTTCTGTGAACCAACCACCCCCTTGTGAATCATTCTTTTGCAAGTGTAGCAAGATTCCGTTAAAATTGTGTTTATCGTAATTTGTATGATTCTTGAAAACACAACTTTTTAAGCTATTTTTTACACTCGTGCTCTTAGATACAAAACCATCATAGTAACTAATCAATATCGTTTACTATACATATACATGCATCCCGTCTTCTCGAGATCATTCTTCGATCTTCGTGTTCGAGAATAATATAATGAATCACTATTTTCGCAAAACTAATACCTAAGTCTTCAATTATCATCGTATTAATTAATTCCAAATAGCATTGTAACTTAAAAAAGTTAAAATAAGTTGCTTATTTCATCGACTTAGATATTTATTGTTTGGCCAAGAACACAAAATATTAGACCAAAAAATAGAGATACCAAAACTTTCTTTGAAATAAAGTGCAGAAAATTAAAGAAACACAATCAATATATTTCAGCCTAAGCCTTGGAGGTTCGGTGACCGCTTCTAACATCTACATCTCCCGTCGAGCATCCAAGAGATTGGATTATGCTCAATTCCACTATAACGCCCAAAATGGCAACAAATGTTACAAAAATGTTCAGCCAAATAACAAAGAATAGTACAGAACAGTATCTCTCTCAAAATACAACAATCGACTTACACGAACCACAAAGAATCGCTTTAAAACCTTAAAAATAACAACTCAAAAGCACGAAAACTTCCTTACGGATATTCACTCAGAATATCACCACAAAGAGGCTAAAATGTTACAGATCGCCTTCTCAAATCAAGAATTTGAGAAGAAATTACAGTGAGAACAAAATTAGAGAAAACCCTCAAACGGCGCACTCACAGAAAGAGAACAGAACGCAACCCTTAACCTAGAATATGCCAAATGAAAATGGCATAAAGGCATAGAACCATCCGAATTCAAATCAATAGTCAAGATTCATCCACGTGTCGCAATCTGGTTGAAAGTGTTGTTTTAATAAAGTTGCATTTGCCAAAAAACGTTTTTAACACAAATTATAGATGCATCACTTGAACTTAGTGATGTCAACGAGTCGAGTCGAGCCCGAGCCCAAAAAAAAAAGCTCGAGCCGAGCTTGAACTTTTTTGGACCGAGCTTTTTTTGGCCCGAGCCGAGCCGAGTCGGCTCGGTTTTTTTGGCTTTTTTTTTTCCTAGCAAGGCAGCTTGCTGCCTGCAAGCTGCCTGAACAGACTCCGAGTCAAGCCAAGCCCGAGCCTCCGAGCTTTTTTGCCACCGCTACTTGAACTGGTTCGA